ACACACACACACACACACACACACACACACACACACACACACACACAAGTAGGAAGAAAGGTCCATCCTTTCATGTGTCTAGTTCCACGACTTAATTCAAGTCAGTTAAAGCGATATAAGAGAAGGTATCAAATGCAAGGATTACCAGCATTTCAGTGTAGGAAAGGGAGAACATAGTGGTTGACTCAGGGCTGTTAAAAGGATCAAGCAGAATAACAGAGTTTTTTATTTTAAATCAACTATTAAAATGTCACGCTATCAAAATCAGTTTCATTGTGATTACTGCTCTTAGGGTCTTGCAACGTGTAGTTATCCGTTTGACAGCTTTTATATTAAGTGCTAGGTATTATGCTGAAATGCCGAAGAATTGAAAATGTACAACCTTGGGGCTTCATTCACTTTAGAGAGGTATAATATAACACCATGACTCAGGCAATTTAAAGATCTCACTGAAGTGTCTAGACACCCTTGGAACAGTGAGTCACAGGCTGTGCCCTATGGTGTTCACCGCACACTTATTCTGCCACCTTTCTGATGTTTCCTTGGAAAAAGTGTCATTTCCATAGGCCCCTGTATGAACTCTCAGATCTGATGCTGTGCTGTCTGAGCTAGAGCCAATCACGTTTGAAGCACTCATATATGGAATCTGCTTCAAAGTTGGGTTGTGATGTCATTCTCCATCCCCTGTGGTTCTGACCAACAGTGATATATCTGGACTTGAGGTGGGGTGAGGGAGAATAAGGGGTCAAAGGTTAGGAATGCAAGTTGGAAGATCACTGAAGACCAAGGCTTGGGGGTAAATGTTAGGAAACCTGAATGTCTCTGTCAATTCAAGAAAAATTGCCCATCTCATTTTGACCTTTGTTAAATTAACCAAGGTTCTCTGTTCCTATGTATACCCTTCCATAGTCACTGAATTTTTAGCATTGTAAGTGAGGAGCTGTACGTAAGGGGAATTTGGGAAGTCATTTCTAAAGAGAGAGAGGACATGTGATACTTGTGGGGAAGCAAGGCAGATGAGTACTGGAGCCTGGGGAATTTGTTACTCAAAGATTTATCTTTATTGGGCCTTGGCACCCAAGTAAACAGGGCAAGCTTCAAGCATCAATGCTCTGGTGTAGATACATAATACAGAAATGCTTAGAAGATAGGGATTACAGGAGGTTTAGATGCTTTCTCCTTTGCCCCAGCCTCACTCTCAATCTGTTGTCTATCAGATTTTCTAAAACCAGTGAACCGTAGGCATTTATCTGCCTGATGGCTGAAAGCCTTGGGCCCTAAGCCCATTCCCTGTTGTTCTGTTTGTTCAGGACCCCAAGCGGCAGGCAGGACTGTCTGGCCGCAGACACTGCAGGCTCTCTCAATCCTCCTGACAGAGACACCAGGCTCTCACTGTGGTGGAAAAATGGGCTGTCCCAGAATATTCTTTCTCTCCCTGGAGAAGCATGACTCAGTGGCCCCCTGGCTCACCCCTGTTCCTCTGCTATCCAACTTCTTTCACGTGTTCAGCTTTCTGCAAGGCAACACTGGGGCCTACCGGGTGTTTCTGATAGCGTCTGCTCCTGAAAGGCTCATTAGATGACTTCTCCTGCATTTAGGAAAGGGTGGGTGGGGGGAACTCTGCTTTAAGACAAACCAGCTCCATGTGATCCTCGCCAGTGGCGATGCCAGGATCCTGTTAGTGCGTTTAACCCTCACTTATAAGACCAGGGAGTAGGCTGAAATCTTCACTAGGCGAACAAATGGGAGTGCCTGCTGTGTGCCTGATGTCATTAAAAGGCCTTGGGACCTGGGGAGAGGGCTCAGTCAGTAAAGGGCTTATTGCATAAGCATGAGGGCCTCAGTTTGACCTTCAGCATCTATGTCAAAATCCAAGCATGGTGGCTCACACCAGTGATCCCAGCACCGGGGAATGCGAGATAGGAGGGCGCCTGAGGCCCGCTGGTCAGCCAGGCTAACCTAACAACACCAAGATTCAAGTCCCAGGGAGAGACTCTCTCAGAAGACAAGGTGGATGCCTCCTAAGGGGCTATGTCCCAGGCAGACTTTTAACGTCCACACGCATGTGCACACACATCTGAACACATGTTCATCTACACGCAGACAAACAAACACACAGAGAGAAAAGTAGGGGAAAGTTCTTTTAAAAGGGCTTGTCACAAATAGGTGCAAAGATTACCATAAACCCAGAGCTTATAAGGCAGAGGTGGGAGGGTGGGAATGAAGTATAAAAAATCTATTATTAAATTAAAAAACAACAGTAACTTTTTTTCTGGAAAAAAAAAAAACCTTTCCCTGCACACTCTCTAGAATCAATTAACTGCAAACCCAGTTGACAGATATTAAGAAATTGGTTATGACTAAGAATGTGGCACAGTTTTGGAACACTTGCCTAGATTGCTGGATGCCTTGTACTGTAACAAAGCAAGAAACTTCTATCCAGGGTTTGTTCTCTCTCCTCTCCTCCTCATTTTCCTCTTCCTCCTCTTTCTTCTCCCTCTCTCTTTCTCACATATGCACAGGTGCATGCGCGCGCGCGCACACACACACACACACACACACACACACACACACACACACACTCACCCCCCACTAAGATCCAAGCACTGTGCTAGACAGACTTCGGGTATATACAAAGATCAACGGGTTCCTCAAAGTTTAGGTAGAGAAAAGCATCCACATATAGACAGAATGTAATAGTGTGTTGCTCTGGAGCCACCTGTGAAGGGTCAGTTCTCCATGTGAGCCTCCGATGCCTGAGGATGCCTACCCTTTCGACTGAACACTGCAAACCTGCCTCTGGACCACGCACTGGCCCCTTCTAGGACGTATTCCCTTGGAGCTTGTTAATGTGGTAGACACAGCACTAGGCTGATGACTACTTTTGTTTGCTCATTTTGAGAAACTATTCACCTTTTTACTGGCTTGGAATGCCTTACAACAGGAGGGAAGAGCCATTCTCTTAGCAGACAGGGAGGGGAGGCTGGCCCATCTCCACTCTCCCTCTCTGCTGTAGAACCTGAATCCTCTTTGAAAACTGGATCTAGATTGTCCTTTAGCTAGCACACCTCTGAAGAGATTATAGTATGAGGGCTCACCACTGTCTTAATATCTTCAGTGTTTTCAATTTCAACCTACATTTCAAGGAGGTCTGAAAAACATGCCCATGGATGTCTTTAGGGAGTTTGAAGACATTCTTCAAACTCATTCTTCACATAATTTGGCATAAGCAGGGTAAGTACTGTTCCTTCCAGATTGCAAACAACCATTTTTATCAGTTTTCTTTTTATAATGGAGACACAGTAAATAAACACTGCCATCATTTTCAGTGGTGCATTGAGGTTTTCAGAGAAGTAAAAGTGACTTTCCAGGGACAGGGCAGTTATAGTGGGAGGAAAGGAAAGAGGAAAGAGGTCGCAGGGAAAGATAGCCTGGAGGCTTCAACTCAAGATACCCCTTGCCTTTACCAGCATCCCTTGGGCCCAACATAGCATGGAGATCCAGGATCTGCTTGGGCTGAATCAGCAGCCCCTTGCATACTTGCTCACCTGCTGGGGTGGGGTAGGAAGGAGTTTTGGTGAAGCTAGAGGAGGTTTCAGCTCCATCATGCAGCTTCAGACATCAGCTGACTTTGAGCTGTGGATTTACTGTCATTACTGCAAGAAGAAAAGTCTAAGCTTTTGGAACTGTCAGTCTCTGAGGACATTGTGTACCTCTGGAGCATCTGTAGAATAGCACTCCACAGACTTGCAGAGAACAAAGAACCCACAAGGCTGTTTGTCCTCTTGAGCCCCAGACTATGGAGAGACAAGTCACTTAAGTGAGACAAGCTTCAAACACTGGTTTTGGATAACTGTCCAAGGCTAACATGCCTGGGTTGTTTGCAGACCAAAGAGTTTGGGATATGTTGTGTAGTTAACATTGGGTGTGAATTATCAGGGTAAATAAATGTGTGTGGCTTCAGCCCAGGGAGAGAGAAAGAAATAGGGTATCAGAGGCTGTGTCTGCCAGGTGGCGCAGAAAACAGCAGCATCTTTCTGTTGCTATCGCTATTGTCGTTCTGCTTGCTGTTTCTAACTCTGTATCAGAATGTGGCTCATGAGAGACTTGCTCACTCCTGGAGGTGCTGCAGGAATATGGGTCCCAAACAGATTCCAATGTGAGGTCAAGTCATCACAGCAGAGGGAAAAGGCATGGAGACAGGACTCAGTAGGCTTCAGCTGCTGGGTGGTGATAGCCAGTCACTGCCTTCTTGCAGTTTTCTTTTGCTATGGCAAAGTGGGGGTTATGGAAACATTGGGTTGGAGAACCTAAAGGGCCCTTTTGTGTATGAATAGTCTCCCTCAGCCACTCATTCTCCTCTATACTCCAGCTGTTGCTTATAAAGCTGGCCTGTGACATCTTGGGCTTATTTGAAGGACCAAATCCCTGTAGGCTCCCATCCACCCCCAGGAGCTATGAGAAATGAAGACTTGGCTCTCAGACTCACCAGCAGGAGTACGGACATCTCTTGCTATAGCGACAGCAGTAAAATTGCCATTCCCGGTCCAGCACTGACTCGAAGTAGCGGCTCTGGAACCCGGCCACCAGTCCGTTGTTGGAGCAAGTCTGGTACCTGAAGAGAAGAGATCATCAGGGCACTGGTAGATGCAAACTCCTTCCTCAGAACTTCCTGCCACTCGGTCATTGGCCCACACTCCTACAAGTCATTCTATTTGGCACAAGGAATAGATATATTGTAGAAATGACACTCACACTATAAAAGTTCAAATGACTCAACAACTTTCAGTGAAAATAAGTTTGGGAGACCCTGCTCCTAATGACTCTCCATAAATATATGGTTAGAAGAAAAGATGTTTATGAATTTTTACAGTTGAGAATGCTGTAAATTATTTTACTTGAACTTAAGCTAGAAAGCTGACAAAGAACTATGATGAACTGTTGAACTTCAAATAAACATTTCACTGTCCCCCTACACAGCACACAAAGTATAGAGATGCAGGGCTGTTCGGAGAAATCTGCTGAGAAGTCTAGGCTCATAGTCGGTGTTCTCTGCATATCCGGGAACCTTTGTACCACCCTCTAGGTGGGTCTCTGAGCTCCACCTCTAGAACCTGAGCCAGGGACATGGCAAAACTCCACACAGAAAATCCACAGACCAACTGAACTCAAATTCCCAGGGACCCTTTCCTGTCCTATCGGTCTGGATTTTTTATGGTGAATCCTTAGTTGAGAAGGAAGAGTCACTTTCATTCTACCAACGTTGCTGGTCTTGGCCCCTTTCACCTCTCAGGCATCTCCCTAAATGAAGAACCTCTCTCTGTTTCATCTACAGTATTTCTTCTTTCCCCTAATCACACACTGCCCAAAAGTTTGGTACTTTCTGCTGGCTTGATGACTGTTTTCTTCACGTAGACCGTGATCTTCCCTAAGTTTCCCCAGGCTACTTTCAGTTGTTATAGCTGAACAGCAGAAGGATGTAGGAGCTTGGTTAGCTTGTGGTTCTGAGAGTGGGGAAGTCCTAGAATGTGGTGCTGGTATCTGGTGAGGAACTTTTCACACTGTGGAGACAGACACAACCAAAACTGCCTCATGACATGGTGAAGGGCATCACAGGTCAAGGGAGAGCAGCGGGCCTGTTTGGGTCTTTCTTTCCCTGCTTACAGGGCGACTAATTTCATCCTGAGGGCCCTTACCTGAGAGCAATATTTCCTATTGCCTTTCAGAGGACACATGTCCAAATGTCATCCACACACTTATTCAAGGATTAAGTTCATAGCATATGAACTTTAGAGAACATATTCAAACCGTAGTACAAGCCCCTCCAAATCAGGCCTTCAGCTACTTCTGTATCCTTCAGTCTCCTGGGCACCTGGGTCATCAGCCTGCCCCCTCTCATGTGAAACAGCGGTCAGTGACTGATGGTGCATAGTCTGAAGGCTGCTAGATTAAGCATATTTTCCAAATAAAGCTAAGTTTCCAGAAAACACGAAAGGGGGGTTCCCTGTGCTATCTACTGGGGGAGACCTTGCTAAACTGTCACACTGCATCAAAGTGTCATTTTCTTTTTTTCCCCCATTGATGGAAATTAACTCATACATCTTTCCTTTTCACTTATTTATCATTTATGTGTATGTCCATTCATATGTACATTTAAATACACATTTTTATCCACTCATCCATCAACAACTTATACTTTATGACTCAATCCCAATTCTCAACCACTGTGCCCTATGATGAGGACGGAATTAATAGGTGGGCTGGGTGCTAACTCAATCATGTTCTCAAGAGCAATAGGAAGTTTAGTGTATAAAACTGGTTCTGGAAGATCAGAAATGAAATCCAATATATAAATCGAGACCGATGCGATGGCTTTTGATTATTTAGCTTTTTTTTTTTTTAACCTCAAGAGTATTGCCTCTTTGGGCTTACACCATTTGACATGGACTACTGCTATCATAGCATGAGGTAAATTTTCTTGTGTGACTCCTGGGTGGGTCTCTTCATCTCAACTCCATATCAGTGTGGGTGTGAAGAAACCAGTATAAGCTCTAAGAATCATAGGCAAACCCTAAGGTTTTTCTCAGGAAGAAGGCAGTTCCCACTGGTGCTCTGTGTAATTTCCTGTTTTGCCATCATGAAGCAACCGCCTTCCAAATCAGAGCCTTTTACTGCCCATCTTGCTTTTTATCCCCCTAGTCCTCTTCCACCCTTGTGTTGCGTGTACTCAGATCCCTACAAGGAAAAGAATTCCCACGGTGGTAAGTTCCCTGAAGTAAAATGAATGTCAGAAGGCCTGCTGACCCGTCTCGTGGAGGCCCAGTTCTGAAGGCACTCCAAGTTCCACAACTTCTCTGGCTCTCTGCTGGACAGCCAGCCTCATGGCTCTTGTGAGAAGAGTGCTCTCGCCTTTCACATGCCATCTCAGAGAATGCTTCCCTGTGAAGGGTACTAACACCCCATGTCTTCCCAGCCCCAGATCATCTGGAGACAGGCAACCAACTATCTGTGCTCCTCCCAGCTTCAGCGATACGGCCTTCATATTTTGATAGTGTGAGACTGTCGGAGTTTGGTCGTGTGGACCTGTTCCTTTCAGAACTGGACATTGGTAGGGGTATGTATTCACACTGTGGAGACAGACATGACCAAGGGATTACCATCACAGGCTCTGATGCTCCTGGAGTGGTGTCCCACTGTCCGCTGAGTCATCTAGAGCGGCTATCATACCATCTGACGACCTAGGTTTTCTCCTCGGAGCGTACCAATAGCATATACTTGTATTCCCCTGAAGAATTAAGGCAATGTACAGAAAATTATGAGGATGCCGGTGCTTCAATGCTTTATAAATCGCTTACTATTGTGATACTTGGGTGGCAGCTACACAGCAAGTGTCTGCTTGGTGAGGGTCGCTTCCCTTGTTGAAGCATCACACATATGCTCTGAGCCGCTGTGCCGCTAGGATGAAGCTCACTGAGATTGGATGCCTCAGCCACTCTGTTAGAGGCTCTATCACCTCTTATCGCCCCAAGTAGATAGTACAGTCCTTGTGGGAAATGCTCATTTAATCTTTATTTTGTCTTCCTCATAGTGCCTGAGGCTCGTCCAGTAAATGCTCGATAGCAGAATGTAATGAGCGAATGGCTGACCAGCTGGCTCCTGGTATCAGAGGCAGACTTACCTTGCAAGGGCCTATCATGTGGGTCTTTGAGAGGCTCTGGAAGTCCTCCTAAGTAGTTCCTATGGAAACTGGAGCAATGGTTCATTTGCCTGTTTTCTACCTTCTGCCTCAGGAGCAGCCCCGTCGGAAGAGGAAGGTACACAATGGGTATCACTTCATGCAGTTCTCTCAGCCGCCTCTCCAACAGCTTTGGTTACAACAAAGCTCGTGTGAACGTTGGACTTAGCCTCAACATGGCTGGCCCAGGCACAAGGCAGGTGAGAAGAGGGGAAGGCAACTGAAGAGGCAGAGGGAGGGAGCTGGAAGGCTCTGTAATGTTCAACATACTCCAACCCAACCAAGAAAATGAAAACAATGGTACGACACCATGGCAAGGCCCTGGTGCGCTTCAGCACAGGCTTTGAGTTGTCTGCAGAGTGTAAGTGTCAGCTCAAAGGCTGTAGCTTTACTGATAAGCTGTGGCATGATCCCGAGGCCTTAGCAGACTCCAAGGAAACATTTCCTTGGCACAGCATGATGCCCTGCTTCAGAGATCACTCCCATTCTATCTCTTTGAGATTCAGTTTCAGCTTCAAAAACGAGAGCAGTATCAGTCATTCTACCTGAGACTGGGGGATTTCTGGGAGAGAAACCATGAGGCTATTGCTCTTCCCATGACAACAATATTTGCAGATGTGTTCTGAAGAAAGTGGCCTTTCTGGAAATGATTTATCTCCAGCCCATCACAGTAGTGGCAAAGACAGAAAATTTCCCCTATGTCTGAAATGGTAAAACAGAAATAACAGGGCACGGGATGAAGATTTCATCCTTAGGAACCTGCAGGCAAGAAGTCTCGTCCCCACCTTGCCCTGACCATGCTCTATAAGCCCTCATTTACAGCGCTGTAAGGACTCAGTGAAACGATACCTGAACAAGAACAGCCAAGCTAGTAACTAACCAGGACTTGTTTTATACCAAAACGTTTATGCAGGCTTCCCTTCAAGATAGCACAAATAAGCAAGCAAGAAAGCAAGCAAACAGCAGTTACATTGTCCATCTACTTCCGTCAGTACCTTAGCTGGACTTGTGTGCGAGCTTCGTCAAGTCTGGGATGGGCAGACAGGAAGAACAAATAGAGGTGGGAGGTGGGCAGTACGGGATGGGGGTTGGGGAGGGGAGATGGAGGTGGGGTTTTCTTTCCTTTCTTTTGCTTTTTAAGTGTTCTGTGGAGTTTTACTTCTCCTCTGATCTCTGCTAGCCCCGGGTTCAAATGTGTAGAAAGTCCAACTTCTCAGCGAAATAAAACAAAAACTTTTTAAGTTGGATAATCTAGCTGTGTTGGTCTTGGGCCACTTAATAAAAACACACGTGTAGTGTTTAGAGCTGTGGCCTGTCTCTAGCCCCATGCTTCGAGTAGAGTAAGAGAAGTTTCACCCATATTCTACACCAGTGGCCAGTTCCCTGCACTGTGGGAACCATGTGACCATAGCCTTCTCAACTATTCCAAACTTCGTTCCATTCCCCAAAGTGAATAACTGTAACATAGAAGCAAGCTTTAGGTTTTAATTCTGTTTTTTCCTGGAATAATTCCTTGGTTATCATTAGCCACTTAAAACACAAATCCACAGAACGTTAGAGTGTCCATTACATCTTTCAACAAGTGTTTATTAAAGCCTGCTCTGTGCTCAGCCTGGTCTTCTTCTTGGGGTACTGGTATTGACAAGTAGATACTCTGATGGTGGAGACATTTTTAAAGAGAAGCAGAGTGGAGTAGGACCATGACAGAAGAGCAGAGAAGTGGGAGACTGGATAGGTACAACAAGGTAGCACCCTGGTAAAGTAATGATGAGGTAGGGATATAAACTTAGATGGAGGAGAAGGCTGTTTAATCTAATAAAAAAAATTTTAATTTCTGCATTTTTTTTTAAAAACCTGTAATCTTTGGAGCATCCAGGAGG